ATAATATATACAACAGCATCACAGTCAGAGTCGGTCTACGGTAGAGCAGTCAGCACATTTTACTCAATAATCGTCATTTTAATGCAATAGATTTGGCTCTGCAGGTTATAAATGCATCAAGATTTTATTAATTTACATTTTTACATCAGTTTTTCGTTGTATACTTAATTCAGGGTAATCAGACTGTAAAAACTTACTTTCAAACTTATTATACTTTTTTATTATGTTTTCAAAGTAAATCGGTTTAATCGTTTTAATACTCGTGATATCAATTATTGACCCCCAAAATAATCGAGATTCAGTGATTTTTTGCCAAATAATCGAGACAGCCCTGACTTTTGAGCAAAATGAATTTATGGAGTAAGCTCTCAAACACTCGATGAAAGGGGACTAGTATAAATTTATCAATAATCCAAACATCTTATGATTGAATCCACTCTTTACTTAGTTTTCTTTCATAAATATATTAATCCAAATAGATGGCATCTTACATCTTTTATTTATGCATACAACAATCCTCCCTTTTAAACTTTTACCTGTACTATAGTACACATTGGACATGATTCTTACTTTAAATTTTTTACAACTTTATTAATAGATAAAGGCTTTGCTCTCTCTCTTGCTCTCTCTCTCTCTCGCTCCACATTGCTTTTCTTCCCCCGACTGCAACGCTGTTGTGTGTGTCTGTAAGAGCGTTTCAACATGTGTGTTTGAGCAGATTTGATCAGTGGTCGAAGCCTCTCTCGTGAGGCCCTAATGATAATTCTACAAAATAATATTTAAAAACATTAAAACAAATATATTTTTTCTTTATATATATTTTTTAAATATGTGTTTTTAGTAATATTTGTCATTAGTTTTTAACCAAAATAACTTGATGAAATTGTATTTAACAATCAACATGCTTCCAAAGAAATAAATCCTTTGAATCTGCCCATGTCAGCCTTTCTGTTCTGAATGTGAAGGGTAAATGAAGAAGCTCATCTCTGCCGAGGTAAAGACAGGAGCTGTGTGACGTACACTGTGAATTCAAAGAGGGGCGATCTTAGTCAACTGAACCGAGAGAGTAATGTCAAATGACAGTACCAGATTGACCAATCATATCTTCCCTCTAATGGGGATGGGCTTTAATTATCAGCCGGACTTTGTGAAAAGTTCGCTGTTGAAACGTTTCCGTTTTCCATAGCAACAACAACTGTCACGGCGTAAACTCGCCTTCAAAATAAAAGCATGCCAAATTACACTTAAGACATACACTGCAACGAAAGTAACAAACACAATGCAATATCCTTTTCAATTTCAAAGAACACAAATTGGGTTATTTACAGGTGTTGTTTTGTGTGGTAGAGGGTTGCTTTCATTGATGCGTTTTGCACCCCAGGCGGGCCGTTGTTTTGATATTCCACCAGTGTGAAAAAAAACAACAAAAAAAAAACATTTTAATTTTGTATTTCACGACCCACCTATCACATCTCTGGGGCGCGCCCCACACTTTGAGAAACGCTGGTCTACGGTAAGAGCCAGTCAGACTAGTCATAGCTCAGCAGTTGGTCTACGGTAAGAGCAAGTCAGACTAGTTTTAGCTCAGCAGTTGGTCTACTCTACGGTAAGAGCAAGTCAGACTAGTCTTAGCTCAGCAGTTGGTCTACGGTAAGAGCAAGTCAGACTAGACTTAGCTCAGCAGTTGGTACCCAGACTCGCCTGCATTAATTTTAGGGAATGGCCTCAGGTAATAAAACCATTCTGATGCAACTGCAATACTTGTATCATGTATCTGTAAGACTGAACTTCCTCTGTGTCCCAAGATGTGTCCACTGGGATTAAGATATTTTAAAATAGCAACAGGACAGCTCCTCACATTGAAACATTTGACAGTTTGGCACTTGGAACACATGAGTAGAAACAGACTGACATCCTCTGTTGTGATTTTGTATTTGCATCATGTTTCACTCTGAAACGTGTGGATTACAGAGCCAGAGGCAGGCCAAAGAACCAAATCACTGAATGGTCCTGTTTTTTTATTCTTCCGGGATTCGCTTTCTTTTGCGAGACCTAGGCAGATTCCTGTTACTGCTTAGGCCATTATTCTGGAGAGTGCTTTAGCATCGTGTCTCAATTCAGGGAAATGGTTTTGATGAATATCCATGCCCTGCTTTGCAGTCGTTACGATTGTTGCCTGCATTTTTGCTACCTAGTGCAGCTTCTCCTCTGCTATCTGAGCCGCTCTCCAGGTAATTGTGGGTCAAGTGCTTCAGTCGAGAGCACTTGACTGTTAGACGTATAAAGAAAAAAGGAGTTTTGTTCGCTCAATTGTGTCAAAATGTCTCAAAATGTCCTTTCAGCTGGCCACAAGTGGCTAGACTGGGTTTTTCGAGAGGATAAAAAGACTTCTACATCGTGTGAAACCCTAGGGTTCATTAATATAGCTTTGCCGTTCTTTGGTATTCATAAACGCTTATGAGAGGTGTTCTCTAGTAACCGTTCCTCAGACGACTGAGTGGTTAGAAACATTATTACCTCGACTTTTATCCACACTTTCTACACACCTCTGCTGCTATTATGTGATCTTCTTCAGTACTTTGTGTTACTTGCTCTAGGGCTGCACAAAATGGAACAAAAACTGCAATTGCGATATGTTTTGATATACGAGATGAAATTATCTATCTGAAACATTATCATTGAAAAGCGTTTTTTTTTTTTAAGGATGTGTACCAAACAAGGAGATTTTGTTATGTCTGTTTCATTTCTTAGAGGCTCCACAATCCGTCATTCGGATATGTTTCAATAATTTACCTTCACCAGTGATATTGCACTAGTCTATATTACGATTTTCATACATTTGGTTAAAAAGACTGACATCGTGTGGAGACCTAGGGTTCATTAATATAGCTTTGCCATCGTTAGGTATTCATCAACACTTATGACGGGTGTTCTCTAGTAACCATTCCTCAGACGACTGAGTGGTTAGAAAATTATCTTTTCAAACATTATCATTTAAAAAGGTATTTAGCAATCAAGGAGATTTTATTATGTGTGTTTTTAATAGTTTGTCAGCTCCACAATACTTCAATAGGATATTTTTTAATAATTGACCTTTACCAGTGATATTGCACTAGTCTAACCTCTCTGTCTCTGTGTCCGCTGGCTTCAGATGGAGGTGGAGCAGCCTTGACTTTTATCCACACTTTCTACACACCTCTGCTGCTATTATGCGTTATTCTTCAGTACTTTGTGTCACTTGCTCTAGGTCGCATGATATGGGGGGAAAATGCGCATTGCGTTTTAAAAATCTTGAATTTTTTGTGAAAGGCTATTTGTTTAAAAGGATGTGTACCGAACAAGGAGATTTGACAGTGCTTAATTCAGATTTGTTCTACATATTTGACCTACTGCACTAATGTATACAGTATTAGGATTTAGATACATTTGGATTGATTGATTGTACAAACCTGCTAACCTCTGTGTCTGTCTGTCTCTCTGCGTCCTCTGTCTTCAGATGGAGGTGGAGCAGCTCCTGTCTCTGTCCGGCCCCGCTCTGGCCCAGGCTGTCAGCTCTCTGCTGGAGACCCCCGGCCTCTACGTCTTCTCTGACATCCTGGAGCTGCCTAATGTCAGAGAGGTAATCACGCTCTCTCTCTCTCTCTCTCTCTCTCTCTCTCTCTCTCTCACTCTCTCTCACTACATCTTCCTCACCCTTTGTGTCGTCTGAGACCTTTTCAGACTTGGCATGAAATAAAATCCATCTCAATCAAACACAAGAAAGTCAATCTCACAGGTGTTAATGTATCGGCAGAATCTAATCAAACATGTATCAAGAAGGGTCAGTGCAGCATCAATTGAAGTATTTCCTCCTCACATTGAACAACATTAATCATCAATGCATGTGGAAGTGTGTATATTAATGCACTAATGACGTAATCTAGGTCACGACTCACCAATTATTATATTAGAAAATCCTTGGCGTGAAGCAGCTTTCAAACGTTACATTATCAACCTATTACGTATTTTGTACGCAAAGCCTTCATGAGAATACTTAGTTTCCACCTTAGGAGTGAAACGCTGCTGTTACGCAACAGTACGGATGTTCTGCGTCATTGCTCCATTCTTTAAGAAAAGGATAAAGAGAAATCCAGACCAGGGGGGATATTTACTTAACATTGTGCCCCTTTTAATGCAGTGAACGGTGAAATTGCTTTTGTTTTCATTTACTTAAGGACCACAGCAAGGTTTAGTGCAGATAAAATGGAAGACGAGAGGAATGCGTGCAGACGACTTTCCTTCAACACAAAGCTTTACAGCTCGGTTTCCCTCCGAGGTTTTCCTGCCTCAATGTTTCTGTATGACATTCAATGACCTTTAAAGTTATTTGTTTACTTCAGTTATCTAGTCCTAGCGGTTTTAAAGGTAAATGCATCCCCCATTTAGCTTTCCCAACTCATTCTGTCACTGATCTTGAGTTGAGCTGTTTGAAGCATAATAATAATAATAAATTATATTTATATAGCGCTTCTCCCAAACTTAAAGAAGCTTTTCACAGTCGGGGCGAGGGTAGACAAACAAGGACAGGCAAAAACAACAAAACAACAAAACAAAACAAAAGATCATAATAAATGAATAAAATAAATCAAATAAGATAAACAGAAAGGGCAGTCATGACGAAGTTGATTGAGGGGGG